CTGTTCCTAACAGACAGGCAGGAATGACACATCTGTGGACTGCTGCCATCTCTGCCTCCAAGCGGTCAGCTTTGTTATGGGCCAAGTGACCCTCCTGTGCTTAGAACTGCATGTTGCTTGGAAGCGCTCCTGGGGGTCAAGGGCCCATACTTCTCCAAAGGTTCTTTCATGAACTATGTGATCTCCGTCTCTGCTGTGTCCCCAGCCCCGGGGCAGCTCTGGCTGGATGGCCCTTCTTGCCCTAGGGTGAGAACACACTTGTGTCCCGTGTGCCTTCATCCCCAACATCCTCTCCAGCATCTGGGGCCACTGAGTGCTTGCTGAGCCACCAGTTTTGCTGGAGTGGACACTGGTCTACAGCATGCGTCCAGGGCATGGGCCACAGCAGGAGGCCACAGCAGGAGGCCACGGCAGGAGGCCACAGCAGGAGGTCACAGCAGGAGGCCACAGCAGGAGGCCACAGCAGGAGGTCACAGCAGGAGGTCACAGCAGGAGGCCACAGCAGGAGGTCACAGCAGGGGGCCACAGCAGGGGGCCACAGCAGGGGGCCACAGCAGGAGGTCACAGCAGGAGGCCACAGCAGGAGGTCACAGCAGGGGGCCACAGCAGGGGGCCACAGCAGGAGGCCACAGCAGGAGGCCACAACAGGAGGTCACAGCAGGAGGCCACAGCAGGAGGCCACAGCAGGGGGCCACAGCAGGAGGTCACAGCAGGAGGCCACAGCAGGAGGTCACAGCAGGAGGCCACAGCAGGAGGCCACAGCAGGGGGCCACAGCAGGAGGTCACAGCAGGAGGCCACAGCAGGGGGCCACAGCAGGGGGCCACAGCAGGAGGCCACAGCAGGAGGCCATGGCATGAGTCCATAGCAGGAGGTCACAGCAAGGCGCCTCGTTCCGGGAGGAGGATGTGGAGAAGGTGATTCTTAGTGTGCCAGGTGAGTGGGATGAGATCGGAGCTACCAGGAACCGACAGGCCTGGGTGGAGGAACCACTTCAGGGCCAGTGCCCGCTCACCCCGGAAAGCAGACAAAGTGACCACTGAGCAACGCCTTGAAGGAGGGAAGGGAACGGACTCAGTGAGTGGCTGGGAAGTTGTACCGCCTGGGGCAGGCGCTTGATGAACTATTGTGGCTGAAACAGCGTGGGAGGGAGGGAGGCAGGAGACGGAATCTGGGAGGTGACAGGAGCCCAGTTTCACAGTGTCTTAGGGGATGGATAGGGACTTTGAGTGAGACAAGAAGGTGGAGGATGTGACGGTGACCCGACTGTGCTTCTTGTGCCTTCTCTGGTTAACATTTCTTCTTGCCAAACAGAAAAACTTGATAAAGCCCAAATGAAATTTTGAGATTGAATTGTATTTTCTCAGTTATTGACCAGGAAAGGGTTTGGTTATTCTAGGACAGAACTTTTTTTATTTATAAAAGGAAAAGAAATCTTTTTCCTTCCTTAGACTTGGAGAGTCTGAGATACTGCAGCCGCCCAAGCTTGTTACCTGAAGGCTGGTCCCAAGTGACAAGCCCCAGGGGCAGACAGTGAGGCCACCGTGTGCGTGTGGGAGACCGTGATCGTCATCACTGTGACCTGAGAGGTCGAGGGACCCTTCGTGGATTTCATGCATTTCTTGGACCTGATCTCTGCTTGTGGGTGTTCTCTCATTACATGGTGTCCAACCCATGCTTCCCAGCAAAGAGAAAGTGCTGAAGAAAGCAGCACAGACTGTGCAGAGTGGCTGCGAGACTGCATCTCCCCTGCCGCTCCATGTCCTCTTGTCTCTGCCTGTGGATCCAAGGCTACAGAAGTTTGGTTTCCCCGGGCCCACCGGGCCTCGCAGGCTCTTGGAAGTGGGCACAGGTCCCTGGAGGGTGGAGTTTCTGCAGCTCTAATCCTTTAGCTCTGTTCTGGCAACAGGCTGGTGCCATGGGTACACCTTGCCAGGCTGCCAGGCCACCTGCACAGTGGTGGCCCCACAGCAGTCAAGGCAGAACAGAACTCTGCAGCAACCAAGAGCCACCCACAGGCTCATGAAGGTTCAGATGGAAGTGAGGAGTATAATGAAACTGGAAGAGAAGGCATGCATGCTTCATTCTGGTAAAGAATTTGTTTACATTTCATCTATGTCCTAAGGCTTTGTGTGAGGTTAAATTTAAAGGTGGTGGAATAATTCATGTACTGGAAGAGATTTCAAGGCAGCCTAATCAGCCCTGTGGTATGGGTACTGCTGACTTTTTAGCCAGATCTACAGTGGCTATCTGGGGGGAAACAGAGGTAAGTGATTTGAAAAGTTTACAGTTTCCCCTAAAAGGAAGTGCGTGTGAATTGGGGCCAAGGAGAGCATGGTTGTTAGAAGATTAGCATTAAAACACTGAAGTACTTTGTACCAAGACAATAAGAAAGAAGGCTCAATAATGAAGGTATCAGGTATTGACCAGACCGTATCCTTCACAGGCTCAAAGATGTAAAAGCATAAACTCCTTTAAAAGACTTTGCTTTGGGAAGAGAGTCTTAGGGCACCGTACTTATTCAGGGCTGTCTAAGAAAGTGATTCCCAAGTTCAAGTAACTATCCAGGTACTCCAAAGCCTCTGCAACCATTGTAAAAGGGGACCAGGCTACTGCTCAGCTGGCAGCAGACCTTGGCATCAACCACATGGCACTAAGTTTGTGGTCATGCAAAAAATACAGTACTTACAGGGTCATGGAAGCTTCCACCATATTTCAAATGAAATCTTGGGAGGGAGACCAGTTAGCCCTGAGTGGATGGTGCATAAAACTGTGAGAGCAAAAACAAAAGTACAGTAAACACCCCAGAAATTAAAGATGCCCCAAACTGGAACATCTGCCAGGGAAAGCCACAGACATTAAGTGGAGCTTGAGAGAGGCCATGCGGGATATACTGGCAAGGCCGTAGGAGTGAGGGTGTCAAAGCTCTAGGAGTCCACATCTACCTCCTGCCCCAGATACCAGACATAAAACTGTAGAATGTAATGCTCACCTGGTTGGGTTTTGGTGTTGCTCTAGTCCAATTCTTTTTTATCCCCCTATTCTTTTCCTTTAGAATGGGAATGTTTACATTGTGCTATTGTACGTTAAAAGTATTTAACTTTCCTTTTGATTTTCACAGGGACTTGAGAGTTAAGAGTTCACCTTGAATCTCACAGGTGACTTTAGACTTGGACTCTTCAGCAATGCTGGGACTGTTAGTACGTTGGCAGTTCGTAGAAATGGACTAGGTACATTTTGTATAATGAGATGGACATAAGTCTTTGGGGGCCAGAGGTGGAAAGTGATTAATACAATATTGTCCTAGTAGAAATTTGAGATTAGGTGATGCCAGTCATTCGGTAGCTGATTGACAGGAAGAAGGGGTTTGGCTCTCAGCGTACCAGTGCAGGGCACTGGCTACAGCACAGGGCAGAGCACAGGGCCACACATAGAAGCACACGGCTGCTCAGCAGCAGAGGGACGAGGGAGTGTGGGCAGGGGCCTTTACTGTGATTTCCATGGGAAGGAACAGGTGAGGCAACAAGCTTCAGATTAGCTGCTTTGAATAATTCCAGGAGGCTCTGGGTGTGGAGGCTACACTTGGTATCCGCTACTGACTCTGGGATGAATAGCATAGATGCAGGGTGCTTGGGCTATGATTTCTGGGTTGCGTGGTTTATAAGTCCTGGTCTAGGCAGGCTGTTTGCTTTATTAGAAACTAGTCAGCCCTAAGAAGAGTAGACTCTCTGGGGCCACCCACCTCAGATGTGAAAGCATCAGAACACAGTACAGAAAAGCACAGACTTGGCTAGCACACTTCTATCTTCAAAGCCAAACCTTCTCCTCCTATATTGTCTGATGTCCCTTTCTGCCACCATCCCAGTCCAATTGTTTTGTTAGGGCTTGTGTGATTAGATCAGATCCCCCCCGTAAAAAGTTTCTCCCAACTAATTCAAAGTCAATTCATTAGTAATCTCAGTTACATCCACAGAATATTCCTTGCTGCATACATGACAAAACCATAGGCATGCTACTGATTGCATTCGCAGTCCTAGGTAAGAGGGTAGGAAATCTTGGTGACCAGCTTAAGATTCTCCCATATATATAATAGTGAGAGTAGTGTTTGTTCACTGAAAATATTTGGAAAAATAGTGAAAACCACATGGAGAGAGATAAGAAGCACTGATAATTTTATCATTACTAATATATTTTACATCAAAATCCATATTATTTCCACAGCTAAAATAATGTTCCTAATTCTGTCTTTTTGGATTTCATAAAATTCCACCTATCATTATACATTCTTTGTAATAAAAATTCTCACCAGCTTCACAGTAAACATTTACTAACTAATCCCTTAATATTAGCTATTTAAGAGATTTAAAGGCTTTGTTAAGATTTATGATTATGTCCTTCAGAGATAGTCCTAAAAATAGGCCTACAGATATAGTCTTACACTTAGTTTGGTTTATACCCCAAATAACAGAATCTCACCTCTCTCTTTTCTTTCCTCCTGTCTCCCTCTGTTTCTCCTCCCTCCTTTTCAGAATTTAGGTTTTCAGTAACATAGTATAAAGGCAGGAAAGCATCACCGCCTCCTCATCTTTCCCCCCTATAAGTAAAGAATTCCTCATTCTTTATCTTTTTCATCTGCCAGAGCTGCTTGTTATCAAATCCACTGGGCACATGTTTGATTATTTATGATCAACTGATTTATACTATGGGATTGTGAGGGAATTAACTCACTGAATGATGTGATTTGTGGCATCCCCACTAGAGCTTCAAGGAAGGTTGGAGCTGCTTTTGCTTCTAACACCCTTTCCCAGGTTGGTGGGGTCACCCTGCTAATCCCTGCACACCCAGAGGGTTCACTGTGGAATCCCACTCAAGTTTACTCTTTGAGCAGTTTCTGTAGTTTGGTTTCCACTAACCCTCATCTTTCTGGTCTATTTCTTTGCTATCTGCTTGTCATTTTCCAAGGTGACCGTTGGGTGGATTAAGGAACTCTTATGCATGTAGCTTAGTGAGTAAGATTTATTTTGTTTGCCTCTCCTGGAAACATCACATTGTGGTAGTGTCTTGTCCTGAAGCCAGAGGCTTAGCCCACATGATGGATTCTCAATTGGTTTCCCAACTCTGTTGCAGAACTTCTGGATCTTAGTTGCAGGAATTCTTACATCAGTGGATACTTATTGGCCCACAGACCTGCAGGGGCAGAGACAATAGTGAAGGGGGTTTTGAATGGTTTAATGATGTTTTCCATAAACTAAAGCACATTTACTTTAATGAAGAATGGGATTTATGAGAATGTGATTTCATGGCTGCTAGAATTACAGTAATTTGATAATTAATTTTTTTGCATAGATCAGGGACTTGATATTTATCTATGACAATTATGACAAGTGGGGAGACAACCTAGCACTACTTAGTAAAGCTTTATTAATCTTTTTCTTACCTATATGATACCTGGGGAGACTAACGGTTCCCAGAGGGTGTGAAGGTTGAGACCCTGTAGTGTGAACCCCTCTCTGCAGAGTCAGTCTGGGGTACCCCAGCAGAGTGTCGTCGGGAGGCACTCTTGTGTTGGAGACCCTCTGCCTTTCCCAAGCCCTCCCCTTGCTGGGGCTGCCACACACAGGGAGAGGTGGGAGGTGCGGTGCAAGCCTGGAAAATCGGTCATAACAACCAGCAATCCATTAATTAAGGTCCTGGCCACTTCAGCTGTCAACTGCTTTCATGCGCCATCTCCGGAGCCCCACAGTGCACTGCTGTGATTAGTGCTCGCAGCAAGAGGCCATGGTCAGGATGCACTGAGCCGGGCTGAACGGCAGCGGTTTCTTTTTTTATCTCTAGCACGAGTTCAGCCTCATTAATATTCAAGAATCATCACCAGTTCTCTTCAAGGTCCAAACCATTATTTATGCTAACGTGAATCATTGTTCTAACACTAGGGGACAAATCTGCCACTGGTTGAGTTGATTTCACATTTCCTAGAGCTTAGCCTGTTTCACGTCTTTTACATCCTACATGAAGCCACAAGGTTCCAGAGTGTCTTTAAGAGGGAGACCCCGCACTCTAGTCCCAGGAGCTGACCCCAGACGGTTCTCAAATCTAAGCCCAGTAATTTCTTCTCTTCGTTACACAAGGTTTATACTACTCCATGCTATGAAAATTATTTTAGCATGAAGTTTTAAGGATCAGTAATGAAAATCCTTTTCTCTCCCATCTGAACTAGGAATTAGTTGAGAAAGAAGATAGGTTTCAAGCATCATGAATACTGTAGTGCATATTTTTGTGGGGGTAAAATGCAATGAAGTCTATAAGTGAGCAAGCATGCTTATTTCCATACCCTTAACTTTGGACCCATTCTCCTAGCCCCTGGGTAAGTTCCTGACAGGAAAGCCCCTCCTAGCCTGCTAGGGAGTGGGCTGGGTCACACGGTACGTGGACTGGACCAGGCTCTGCTCGCTAATGCACCCACAGAAAGAATGCACCACCCCTCGCCAGGCTGGAGTGAGGAAGGGGAGGGGCAAAGGGCAGCTGTGGCTCCCTCACGGGGCCTTCTCCCTAAGGAAGCACGGTGAATGCCAGCTTCAGGCGGGCATTCAGGAACCAGTGAGCCACTGTAAGTTTTAGAAAGCAGGTTTGGAAGCTTTGTCCAAAAACACAGCTTTGTTAGAGCTGACTTAGTCTATTCTGTGGTCCTTCCAAGATCTTTGCATTTTCTCTTTCTCATCCTCTTAAAAGAGGCCTCATGGATATACAAGGTCTGATCTAAACATGCAGTGAATGTGTAAATTTAAAAAATTTATTACAGAAAAGACACATTGACATTTATTCTCCACAAAGTACTCACCTTGTCTGGAGCACACTTATCCCAACGCTCTTGCCACTTTCTGAGCCCAGTCGTGCGATGGCACAGGAAGCTTTTGCTTTTCCTCTTGCCTTGCACACGCTCATGCTCCTGCAGCTGCCGTGACCCGTGTGCCCAGGCCCAGCGCTGTGGAAGAGGAAGGGGAGGACGGATCATCATCATCATCGACATCATCATCTATAGTGCTGGGGCTCAAACCCAGGGCACAGTGCATGCTAGGCAAACACTCTGCCACTGACCCACACCCCCAGCCTGGGGAGGATATTTGCTGGAAAATAAAACAATCTAACAGACAAAAAAAGACAGCTGGGGAAGGCAGAAAAGGAATGGCCCACTGCCTTGGTTTGGTCTCTCCTTTTTGACTTTGGAGTCTGAATCAAGTTTGAATATCGGCTGTAGACGCACGGTTGGATAAAGTGTCTCCAGTGCGGGGATTGAGTGAAGCAGGGGAAAGAGCTAAGGGATGTCTGTGGGGAAGAGAATTCCACGAAAAAGGAGCTGCAGGCAGCACATTTCCAATCCAAAGGTTTTCAGGGTTTGGAGAGGAGAGAAGCCCTGAGGAAGCTGGCGGGGACAAGGCTTGTGGCCCACAGATGTGTGCCTTTGTGGAAGTGGGAGAAAATTGGGCAAGAGCTTCCCGAAGAGAGAGAGAAGCTGAAGTTCAGAAGAGAGAAGGTGACAGGTGGGGAGAGGCCCCAGCAGACGCGCTGTCCCCCTCGTCACTGTGCACACGGTGTTGTGGGCATCTCTGGGATCCCTCAAAGGATGAAGCCCTCACTCCGGGAAAGTATGGAGTGGGGTGAGCACGATGCTGAGGACCTTTCTAGATGGGGGGTGGGGGTGGGGCGCATCCTGGGGGTGAGTGGACCCCAGGGAGGGAGCATGTTAGGAGGAGAACCAGGGGTGCCCTTGAGATGAGGAGGCCCGAATGTTCTGGGACCCCGATTTCCACGTCTCTGCCTCTCTCTATGAGCACAGCGTGCTGTGGCGTGGGAGGCCCTAGGCCGGCCTAAGGTCTGAGTGCTTCTCACAGCTGACCCACTGCAGTGCAGCCTCCATCCAGGCTGGGCGGCCTGGAGCCCAGAGTGGGTGGTTTCAGGGAGCAGGAGGCCAGCTGTGGAAGGTACGGCTTTCAGATGCCCACCCAGCTGTATTACTGAAACTCCTAGTAAAGAAAACGACCCAGGCCCTGTGTCTCCCCATATTTTGGCTTTTCCTTCTTTCACCTTCTCTTCAGGACCTACTACATAATTTTGGAGGCTAGGTGCAAAATGGAAAGGCAGGGCCAGTGGCTCCCCCAAAACGAATTGCAAGATGGTGACCTCTGAGCTTTTGGCCCAGGACTGGGGATGGGCTGGGGTGGGGTTCAGGGTGTGGAACCTGCAGACCCCTGGCTTTTCATTCCCACTTCACTTCACAGGATCTCTGCCTCCTCCTTTGCTGTTCCTGGCTGGCTCTTAGTATGCGGTCAAAATCCATTTCTAAGTCAATTCTCTATGCTTCTCCAGGATTGAGTTCCAGTATCTACCGGCACCTTGTCTTCCTGGTTAAAGGTGTACGGTAGGAGGAGCACTGGGTGGATGAGCAAAGACACAGTGAGGATCGAGCTGCGGAGAGTCAGAGCCAGTGCCATGGACCATCAGGAGCCTGGCCCGGGACCGGCCGGGATGCACCCTCTCCGGGAGAGCCCCACCTGCTCGTCCTTTTCCCACTGACGCGAGGGCTGCCATTCTGACGTGCTTCGGTCCTGGAGTCACGAACTTGCTCAGGCTCTGCCTCGCCACAGAGATGAACGAGGGTTTGTGATGCAGGGACTGTGATCTACTTCCGAGTCCCTAAAGAGCATGTAATCTAAGATTGCTTTAAATGTTCCCCTTCACTTTTATCTGCCTGTTCCTTCCCCAGCTCTTTGAGGCAGTTGATGAGAACCATGAAGGGAAGCCGAGGCAGGAAGATGGACGTGGAGTCCAAGGCCATGTGCCAGGGCTGGGCAGTGAGCAGGACATTACAAACACGGGATGTGTAGTTTCTACACTCGTACGTCAGCGCTGACTTGGACCTTCTTGTGGAGGTGAAGGCACTGTTCTGTAGGTTTCTGTCTTTCAGCATTTTATTTATTATTATTATTTTAACTGTACAAATGCTGACGCACAGAGTGATAATTGAATACATGCCTGTAAGCAGCATGTCAGGATCACATCAGGGCAGTTAACATTTCTATCCTCTCAAACATTTACTCTGAGGCTATCTATTGACACATAACAGCTGCACATATCTACGGGACCCAGTGTGTCATGTTGGATTCCTGGTGGGCAGAGGGGTACGGGCGGCTGTTGTCTAAGCCAGCCATGGCTCTGTGTAAGGACCCTGGGGCTAGCCGAGCACCTGGCACAGAGATTGGCGAAGGGACCTTTTTCCTCCACGGTGCTTCAGCCTTGACTACCAATGGGAATTCTGGGGAGCAAGGCTGGCCTGGGAAGGGAAGCCCCACTAGCCTCAGGGGTCCCACACCTTCAGGGAAGAACTCTGCGAGGGGCCTCACTGCAGCCCCAAGCTCCCTGCTTGCACCTGGATGGACGTGGCCGGCAGGCAAGTTAGGGCAGGGGAGTTTGGCCCAGCTCGCCCTTGGGTAAAACAGGGCAAGCTCACCTTGGGGCCTTTGCTTTCGGAGTCCACAGGCCGATCTATAGCTTCAGGGGTACAGAGCAGGTAGCAGGGAGTAGCGCGGGGCAGCCTGTGTATTTGATTTAATGAAGCTGAGAGCTTCTTTCCACACCAGCCTCCAGTGAGGTGAGCTCATGGCGCTGCGGCTTCCCGACCTCCACAGGGAGGACAGAGCTCAGGAGAGCTTGTGGCGGAGCAGGACAGTCCCACGCACCCTGCTGCTCTTCACTGACTGTAGCACTTGGTACACAAGGGGACTGTGTATACAGCAGTGAGCCCAGGCGCTCAGAAGGGAGGTGCTGAGCCTGGACGGGGGCTTCCTCCCTCTGTGGTTGTCCTGTGAACCAAACACCCGGGAGGCTGAGGAACTGGCTGGGGAATTCAAGGGCTGTCCTTGGGCTAAATCGCCCTCTCCACTCAGGCAACCAAAGGTCAGGATGACTTTGGTTTTGCAGTGCTGGGGACGGAACCCAAGGTCACATGTTTCCTGGCTAGAGGCTTTGCCTCTGAGCTACATGCCCAGCCCATGAAAACATTATAATGTTACCTATGCCATGGGCAGTGAGCTCCCTTCCCATACAGAGAATAAAGCTAAGTGAAATTACAGAAGGTTTGAGAGGTATGATGCTAATAATCCGATCTTTTATGACTGAAGCACAGCAAATAAACAAATGGAAAAATATCTTAGCTGGTGCTTTTGAAGTAGCAAGAACATCAGGGTTTCCTTTGATCATGTTGGAGCACAACTGAAAATAAATATAATGAGTTATATCAATACACAATCTATACATTGTGCTCAGATAAAAATATAAATACTTTATAATGTAATACAATGTACATATATAGTATATAATGTTATACAGAGTGCCTATTTCATTATTTATATTATACTATGACATACCTTATAATAAAAATAAATACCTTTAGGAGGTAAAAGCCCTAGTGGATTTGAAGAACCCTGACTCAATCCTGGAAGCATGTGGAACGTGGAGGCAGTCACTGTGCTGGTGACAGTGTGTCCAAGCCTGACTTTCACTGAGCCGGGTGGCCAGGGCAGAGGCTCAGACTCAGACTACAGAGCTCCAGACATGCTCTGCGCTTCCTGGCCTCACGACCTTGTGCTGGAGCCACAGTGACCTCATTTGAGTCGCATGTGAAGTGACGATAAGGTCACTGATGCATCAGGCCCTGTGTGACTGTCCCACGAGTCGATGCTTGGGTGCTGGTCCCCACTCCTGAGCATCTGCCCTCCAAGCTGCATGTGAGCCGGCGCAGGGGTCCTGTCCATCACGCGGAGACAGGGTTCTCTGAAGCATCCGCTTGTTTAAAGGAATCTCTGTTTTATAACCTTCTGGCTGAAAATACATTATCACATTGACTTTTATGATAGACCTCGAAATAATCATCTAACTTCTTACAACTAAACTGGTAAACTGCTGGACAACAAATTGCAGAGAAATATTAGAGATGCATGTTTAGGAAGAAGAGCTCTGATTCTTTTGTAGTGGAATCAGGTAAAAGTGTAAGCTAGGAAGCAAAATGCAAAGTATTGACTCCACGGTTTTTGCCATACAGGGGCTCATAATTGGAAGGCAGTAGGCATTAGCTATGAACAAGTGCATTTATCGACTCGAGTTCTTTCTGCCACAGGAGGTTATGCAACTGTTTTGAGGTTAGAGAAGAAAATATCAGTTCAACTGGAAATAAAATCCAAAAGCAATTTAATAGGCTCCAGTGTTACTGCTGCTGTTGTTTCTTTCTTTTATTTTTTTTCCAAAAAAATTATATGCAGCTGGCTTTATAGCCATCTGTTTGGGGCAGTTTGTCTGCAAAAGAGCTAATTAAGGGGAAAAAGATTTGTCATCTCAAGAAATGCTGACAGCTCTGATGGCTCTCAGGGGAGCAAAACCTTATTAGAAAACTGTCTTGTTTATTCATTTTTATTGCTCTTGGTTTCGTGTCTACTTCATGCTTTTTTTCATGTGTTAGCAAGAGATGCACTGTTTTCGCAAAGGGAGTGCACCTTTCCCAAGGAGGGCAAATCATTTCTGGTTTACTTTGTCAGTTTTGGTAAACTTTCCCGTTTTTCCCAAGAGGCTAGCCTCTTACTGTGGCCTATTTAGAAGAATTGTTTACTGGTGGTTGTATTTACTTCAATTAAAAAAAAGCCAGCAAAACATCAGGGCCGGTGATATAGCTCAGCCACACAGCACCTGCCTGGCAAGTGCAAGGTCCTGAGTTTGGTTCCCGGTACCAACAAACAAAACATCACTTTTGTCATCATATCCATTTGGAGTGAGCAACTTAGTGACATTACCTTAGTGACATTCCTATGCTATACAACTCTCACAATTAGCTGTTCCTGAAATGTTTCCATCTCCAGCCTCTGTGGGCATTTTTGTATTAGGAGAACGCATGACTGCGCATCTGGGTCCTTGGGGTGCTGGCCCTGGTGTCCCCCCAGGCAGGTGAGTGTCCTTGTTCCAGGCACCTGGGATGGAGGAGGAGGGCAGATGGTCGTTTGGATTTCCCACCCCTGACAGGGGGCTTGAGCCGAGCCCCAGACAAGTACTCACTTTCCTGCGATGTGATGTCCTCATGAAACTGTTTTCTGCTTAATTTTTAAAAAAGCGAGCTCATCTTTCTGAAGTGCTGTACCCCTTCTCCATATCATGGCCGCCTCCCAATCAAACATGGAAAAGAAAACACCGCTCTGCCTCTTGGTTTGGGTGAACAGGAGAGGGGCAGCCGAGTACAGTTGCTGTCATCCTCTCCAGCTGCTGCAGTTCTTTCCAAGGCCCATGTGGGAAGTCCCTGCCTGTGGGTGATACACGGCTTGAGGCGTGAGAGGAGGCTAACACAGGAGACCTTGTTCTTTCAGGGCAATTGTTTGCTTTTCATCCACATGTGGTTAAATTATAACCTAGCTGGTTCCTCGCCGGAGCTCTTTGAAATTTCGAACAGGAGTCACGGAAGACCATCTGTTTTATATTTCACGAGTAAACTATCTATTTGAGGTATTCTCCTTCTCCCTCAGTCTACGGAGTTTGCAGTGAACACTGGATACTTTGAAATATGAGCTTTTTAAAAATAAAATGACTTTAGTTGACCTACTAAATTCATTAGAAAACAAAAACCAGGCTTCAGTGAATGTCTGGATATAACTGACATATTTGACCCTGGGAAGAGCAGAGTCCACGCTGCATCTTACTGGAAGTAACATCTTCTTCCTGGAGCAGTGAACCCCTTTGAAATTGATTGATATTTATTTAGTGCTATTTCCTTAACCCAATCTTGGACATTCTTAAAAAATAAATTTTGTGAGAGAAAAACTGAGACATTTTTCTGCCGTCAGGGAACTTACTTTCTGGGCTATATCCATCCTCGTGGGCACAGATATACGTCTATGGCAGACAACATTTAGGAGCTGTTATTCTGGGGTTCTAAAGGAGCATATCATATGAAATTGCACATGAACGCTAGCATTATAAACTATACAGAGAAGAGCCAGGTGGCAGTACCATGACTGTCTCACCTGGATTTGCTTTCTGTGGTATCAATTGTCCAACGTCAACAAGAGTGAGGATGGAGGTGGTGCTAGAAGATGTTAGTGTAGCCACGGTCACACATGCAGTGGAATCAAGCTATGCAGGGAGTATTTAAAGCATTTATTACGGTAAAAGACACACAACAATTCTTTTTAATCCCACTCAAAGTACTCCCTTCCCTGAAACACACATATCCCACTGTTAGTCCCACTTTTGGAAGCAGTTTTAGAAGTCCTCTTTCATGAGTGTCTTGAAAATTTTTTTTTTAATTTAGCAATGTTATTGGTTCATTTTAGATTTACATAATGATAATATTCATCACAGAGAGTCTGCACCCGCACAAGATACATCTTGCTTCTTTGTTCCCATTCCGCTCCCCTCCTTTCAACCCCTTTTCCCTCCTTATTTACAAAAGCTTTGTGTGCATTTTTCCTTCTATTCTTTTTTCCTTGTCCTTTTCTTCCTTTCTTTCTCCAACCTCACTTATTCTCCATTCCATTTGAACATTTTCTTCCCATTTCCCGATATCTATTATATATTTTGGTCCTTATTTACACTTTTAGTTTCTCATGCCAGAGAAACAATGTGGTGTTTAAACATTTGTGTCCAATTTATTTCACTTAGGAGTATGGTCTCCCATTTACCTATAAAAGTCTCAAGTTTATCCTTCTTTATGGCTGAGTAGTACTCCATTGTATAAAAAGCCCTAAATTTAAAAAAATCCATTCATTCATTCATTCAGGCTGCTTCAGTTCTTTTTTCCCATCCCCTGCTCCTTCCCTACCTCCCCTCCACCTCTTGTTCCCCATCTGTTTGAATGAAAGGGATCTCTCTACCGCTTATCTTCTATTTTGCTTCCTCCTCTTCTCACTTCTCATATCAGAGAAGTCACTAGTGAGTGACTTTAAGCTTGTGGTTCTGAATTATTTCACTTACATTATGGTCTCAAGTTGTACCCATTTACCTGTGAATACCTCAGGTTTATTTTTATAGCAGCATTTTCCATAGTTTTCAATAATACTATTCCTTGTAACTTTGATTACAGTATATCGTTACAATCATTCCACTTTATTATTACTCATTGCTGTTAAGCCTTACCATAGGTATATATGTACAGGGAAAACAGCCTGCGTGGCAGTAGTATCGATGGTTTCAGCCACCACTGAGGGCCTCGGTCTATGTCTGTCTTGCATAAGCGGGGACTATTTTAATTTTGTGTCATCTTTCCAACATCATTCGGAAGGGATGAAATGGGGCATGGTGTATAAAAGTATGTTTTGAGCTCAGAGATTTAGACATGATTCTGGAATTACAGAAAGAAGAGGAACACAAGGGCACTGTGTTTGGGGGACCTGGTAGGTCAGGGATGGGACAAGGTGGACCTGTCATGTACAGGTGGCCCCCAGTATGGTGTCACTCCCCAGGGTTAGCTTCTCGTTGGCCTGGTTCTTGACCATCACCTGGCCAGGGTGACAGAGGACTCTGCTGAGCTCATGCATAGGACCCCTGTGGAGCTGACAGCAGGACTGAAAGCAGACATCTGCTTCAAAGGAAACAGGTGCGCCCTGCTTATCATAATGGGGTTCCATCCTGATAAACCCATTGCACGCTGAACATGTGGGAAGTCAAGGATTTGTGTTTAGTACAGGCAGGTCCTGCCTACCAAACGTCACAGCCAGTTGGCCCCTCAGAGTGTTAGTTGCGTCCCCTCCTGGCTACAGGCTGACTGCACGAGACCAAGTGTCACAGCATACATTGCTAACCCAGGAGAGGATTAGAAGTACGGTTTTCCCTTATGTAAGTTAGGGACTGTTCATTACTAGGAATTAAAAATAAATTAATGAGAGTTTTAAATGCTTTGATGGAATTAATTACTGTTGGTTTCCCTAGATCATGTTTTGCTCTTATTTGTGTGTGTGTGTGTGTGTGTGTGTGTGTGTGTGTGTGTGTGTGTTAGGCAAAATGAAAATAACTATGAGACAGAGGAAGCCAGTGATGGTCGGCACCCTGACACTGGTGCCTTGAGCTCTGCTGCTTATAACCCGCTCCATCTTGGAAGCCGCCTTGTAAGGTGAGGTGACAGTAGCCCCTTCTGCTAACAGTGATTCTCCTGCAGCCACGAGGGGGGCACAGCTGATACTCTAATGAGCCAGTTGGCTGTGATGTTTGATTACGGCTGTTGCTTGACCTCCAAATGTGGGAGATGCCCACTGGGTGATGAGCCAGAGTTGAAGCTTGTGTCAGGGAAACTAGAGCTCGTGCCAGGAGGGAAGATGTGGAAAGAGGGAGTCAGAGGGACTGAGCTGGAGTGAAGCTCCTCAGCCTGAGTGCGGGGTAGCAAACACAGTCCGCGGTGGCAGGAAAAGCTACATCTCCCTGGAGATATGGTGAGGGAGGCACTGGGAGTGTGGCTGAGGCCGAGTGTCTGGTGTACATGGTGTGGGGGTCTCATGTTTGGGCCACGCCTTCGTCTCCTGACTCACTCTGGGGTAAACCTGCGGGATGCTTTTCCCAGCTGTGCTTGTGTTTAGGAGAGGTGGGTGGAGTAGGCTGTGACAACAGGCACCAGAGTGGCTGCTGGGCCTGGGACCACTCTGCCACACGGCCACCAAGATCCTGGGGGGGGGTCTTTCCCCTCCTCAAAGTGGCTTCAGTTGGCCAAACACTGGTCCCATCTGCCTGGAAAAGTGAAAAGAGAGATGTTACCTCAATACGTGACATTGGAGATGTCACAAGGAACAGCCATGCTCTGTAGCCCAGAAAGACTCAGTCTTAGCCTCAGGGGTTGATGAAGGGGACACAAGTGAGAATGCTGGGACTGGGCTGGAATGTTGGTGCTGGGGGTCTTTCCAAGCCAGTGTGGGCCAGGACTGGGAACCAGAGCTGTGAGAGGACAGAGTGACAGCATAGGCGAGTGGCTGCCCATAGGGGACAAGAAGCACCCAGGACAAGGAGCTTCCCAAGCATGGGGGGATGGTGGGCCTGGGTCCTAAATGGGTGTGCTGTGGGAGAAGGTGGCCTATGAGTATGTCCGTCACACTCCGCCTGTGCAGCCTGGGCATCCCGTGGCTGAGGTCCCCTTGGTCTTGCCATGGTTCACAGTACGAGGACAGTTAAAGATGTGCATTCCATATTTCAAAATACTAAATGGGATGCAGTAGGTATCTTCACTGAGTCCATTAAAGTGCTCAGATCCTGCAACCTATGGCTCATGTTGTCTCTGAAGTGGAACTTTTTGCCCAGAAGTCATTAACACAACGTCTCTGTTAAAGACTCAAAATTGGCAAGAGGCATTTTATTGGTTGCTATAGAAGAACAAAAGCATTTTCCTATGGAAGCTAATCTGCAGCTGGCTCAGAGGCTTGGGACAGTTGAACACATGTGTGCCTGGGGGGCATGTGTGTGTCTCAGGCTGAGGATGTCTACGAGTGGTTAATAGCAGAAACAATTATTCACACAAGCCTGAACACTTAATATTTTGAGATAGAGGGGCTGGGGATTTGGCTCAATGGCACAACGCCTGCCTGGCAAGCATAAGGTCATGAGTTCGATTCCCGGTACTGGAGAAAAAACAAAAAACAAAAAACAAACAATATATATATATATATTTTGGGGTAGCACTAGTAATCTAACTCCTTCCCCAAGGAAGAACACAGTGTAAAAATTAACAGGCAAGAATAGTTACCATTTTCTTGAAGGCTTATCAGTTACCAAAGAAAACATTTAAAGAAAAGGATATTTTGTAATACTAAAACTTCATAACTGAGAGTGACTATATATGTGGTTTATTTTTCACAAATACAGATGTTTGAATTAGTGAGAGCCAATAAATTTGGGTTTAAAGATACTGAGTTAATTTCTAAGTACAAAGGAGCCATCTCTCTTTCTCCATTCTCTATCCCTGGCTCCAACTCCGTGTGGCCAGGCTGGCATCCCAGCATGCAGGGGACCCAGCCCCCAGGATGCCCCAGGGGATAAGTCTCTCCTAGATGCTGGGCTGCACTGGTTGGCATCCCCTTAATCCTGGTGCCTCAGGTCTGTCTTCAGCCCAGCAACTGCCTCAGTGGTACAGACGGGAAAAAAATAGTAGGAAGGGGCAACACCCTCCGTGGCCACTCACGGTGACAGGGGCAGTTGTGTCCCACCAGCTGGCGGCACAGTGACCCAGCGCTGAATCCCCAGGTGGGTCATAGGGTGAAGTCTGCAGAACTCATCAGCAACACCAGTCTTCTCTGGTACAGCCAGGGACAAGTCATAGATGCTCAGAGAGGCAGCATAGACAAGACGCA